ACGTTGCCCTAATTCCGAGTGGGACGATTCTGTGGGCACGGGCTGTTTAGGCGCCGATCGATAGTCTCCAACGCACATTCCCGTTGCCACGAGTTTGAATTTACAAGATTGGTAGTAGTCATCTGATTCAACTGCTACGTTAAGTCCACCATATTTCGTATCTATAAGAAGTGCTCCGTGAACACAATTTGAAACTTATATCAAACTACTGAATTTCGATGATTCCGCGTTTTATTTTGATTCTAGTTTTCTGACTGCGAGAACTCATTGATTCAGTGCGCATTATGCGGTCGCGAGTTTGACTGTGCATTAGCAGGTGCTTGCCTCTGTACCTTGTCCGAGTTTTTCATCATTTACGTGTTAATGAATGGCTGTCAGTGATAATACTAAAAATCTGTCATATTGATGAATTTTCGACGATTTTATGACCGCAAGGTCATTACCAGGTGCGAGACCAGTTTTAATCATCGTTTCTTACCAAAATGTTGAGTTGGAACGAATAATGGCATTGCCTAACTGTTTCTTAAAATATTAATTCGTGAATTTAAATTTAGTTAAAATCGAATTTTTATTTAAGAACAACGAGCTGATGTGTATGGTAATGTTACTTATGTATCAATATTATATGCAGTATATTACATCATTGCACCACAGTATTATATGATTGCGCCATTTTGTGGTTGTGCGCTACCCCACGAAGGTTAGTAATACTATCTCAATAGAGAGTCAGTAGAGAGTAATATTGTGAGAGTCATTCACTGTTGGTATTATGCATGCATTTACTTCACGATATTTCATCATCTTTACTGGTGGTTGATGACCGGCAACAAGTTGTTCGTATTAAATTTCGCTGCCCTTCTGCATTTTACGGAGCCCCTCAATTAACTTCCATACCGACATGTGTGACATTCCAAACTCGGTCTAAATTCATCGATGAGCTGCTTCCGCATGGTTGTTCGTACGGTGTTCGTAGTTGACCACCCTATTGCAAAACGACCACATTTCTGGTGGAAACAACGACAGGCGTCTCGTATTTCCTCTACGATTCAGGTAACCAATGTAATTGTTTCCGAACTAACCAAGAAATGGCTGCAGATCGTTCAAAAGTTCTTCAGCCAGCCGGTCGATTGTTTCATCCATTGCAGTAGTTAGTGCAAGCGCCAGTGCTATTATCATCCTTGCTTTCAACGCGAAATCAGCATCAGCATCAAATGTAAGCACCAGACTAATGCAGTTCGCAGAAATGTTTCTTCTTGCTGTAATTCATATGGTACAAACAACCATAAAGCTGAACATCTGAGAGTGCATTCTTCATCATTATAATCAATAAAGCTATTTCATATGTCAGTTCACTCTTCTCACATAAAAATCTGACAGTGCATTCTCGTTGTGCCCTCAGTGAACTTTTCATTGGTATGCAACATGGTAAAATAAGTCACAAAGGCTACAGAGTTAGGCATAATGAAATATTATATAGAATATAGTGACGAGCACAGCATCGAAGTAAAGTTGCGCAGAACTGATTAACTCACATATTCGCACCGTCACAAAACAGCTGCGAATCTCGAAATTCACTAATTTTACAGACTTTTAGTATTGTACTCACTGAGGGCTATTCATTAATATGTAAATAGCGAAGAACTCGCATCTTCGAACATCTGTTAGTATATACAGTCATAATCGCAATCACGCGATGCGTGCTGAATTAATGAGTTCTCGCAGTCAAAAAATGGAATCAAAATAAAATAAAATCTTCCAATTTCAGTAAGTTCACAGAAGTTTCGCATCGTGCTCGCAGGGAGCTAATTTAGGATATTTAATATGGCGGGCTGAATATAAAAGTTCATCCAAGTGACCATATAGATTCAGATTCGTGGCTATAGCAGAACTGCGCTTTGAAAACGACTGTCGATCGGCGCCTAAACATCATTGACAGCCCATAATCTGCCGGCGTATTCGACGAAGCTTTTCTATCCTTTTTGGGCAACACTTTTAGCTGGTTTCGATATTTCCGGATGAAAGGCGGTAGGGAGTTTCTGACGGTAGTGCATATAGTGCATTATTAATGCTATATCACGGAAAGCCTGGAAAATTATAGTCTTCGAAAAAAAATCTTTCATTTGTATCCTTAGTAAATTCTTCGAATTTCTGATTCTGGACCGATAGTTAAATACATAGTTGTTTGAATGATTCATAATTCAGGGTACCAAATACAGCAGATAGTAGGCAGTTTAATGTCAGCGCTTTTCACTGCACAGAGAGCAGCATCATCAGGGCTGGGCTGAATGCAAGTAAATAATGCCAGTTTTTCAGTTGGCTCAACACATACACTCAAAACGTTGTTTAAACTGTTGAAGCAAAGCTTAATGTTCGCATCAAAATAAATCGGGTCTTTGTCATTTTGACCTGATTTTACTTATCAGTTTTGTGATAGCGCCCCAGCTTTCACTGATAACAACGCAAGATGTGTATTTGTTGCGCATCCGTTTTTCATTGCCAGCATATGTAAGGACTCCTTTATCAGCAGACCTAATTTAGACATTATGCTGTGTTTAGACAGTTGAAACAGCATTTTCACCGTATGCGATGGGCCATTTGAAAAATTGGCGTTGTTTGCTTGTTGGACATAAATGTCTCGAAGCAGTTATTTGTATTCAGTCCAGCCATGCTGCGGTTTGTGCAGTGAAACGCTTTGGCATTAAACTGTTTACCATTTGCTGTATGTGGTGCCCCGAACCATGAATCATTCAAACAACTGTAAATCCTTCGTATCCCCTTAGTTTTAGTTCTAACTCCTTTAAGGCCACGATTCTTCAAGTGGAACTTTGGCATTTATACTCACTTGGCTGGCCGGTGAAAGGTTAATTGCCGCGAGCAAGAATGGTGCATAAATTCTGATTACCTGGCAAAGATCGCGGGTATTGTTTCATCAAAACAGATTCAGTGTTACAGGCAGCGTGCATAGTTTTATAAGCAAACATTCCATGAAAATTAATCGGCTACATTTCATATATATGGAGGTTTCTAGGTTTCTCATTTAGAGGAATGCGAAAGCATGCTAAAGGTGTTTTTGTGTACTGATCTGAAGCTAATCTGCAGTAGATAAAATTAGGACATTATTCAAAAGATAAACTGGTGAATCAAAATTATTGTGTTAAGGATGCTTAGATTGTTCATGGCTAGCATTGATGTTGCAGCATTTAGATATGAAAGATTAACTCTGCTCTTGGCTGCTCTTTTACTCATTAGGCAAGGGATGATATTCTCACTCTACGAGCTTTGGTTGATCAGCGTTTGTACACTGAAGTCGGAGTAGTCACGCACAACAGAATAAGACGTATTCCATCTCTTAAATTCATTGCTTAGTTTTTTGCCTCGTCATAATTTTGGAACAGTTCTGCCATAGTAAAACCTAATTGGGAAACTTGTGAAGGTCTTTGTGAAACAAGTCATGAAGCTTTCTGAATTTTCAAAAATGATTTTTAGCTTTTCGTTAAGGAATTATCTAAGAGAGGGTGGCTGGTTAGGATGGTAGGACAGAACAGTCTGTTGTAATTTTTCATAATCTTTAGGAAGGCGAATTTTGAACGACGAATTAATAAAGCAGTTTGGAGAAACCTTAAGATCGTAGTCGTTTATATTAGAATATTTGGACAAACTGTTAGTCGCTTCTGAAAGAAAATTTTCTGTTTCCATGAACAGTGGCTCCCTGCATTTTACGCTTGCGACTTTTATGTAACTGGAACGTGGGCGACTAATCTCGGACATGTGTTCGAATATTGTTTGTTACTTATATTAAGTACGAAGCTGTTTTCTCTCATATCTACATTCACGTCGCTGAAATATTCTTTTCGATTTGGTTCTTCAGAGAATTTATTTCCCTTCCTGAGACGAAGGTTTTGACGAAATGGAAAAACTCTTTGTCGTGAAGCGATGCGATGGCACTGTCTCGAACCATTGGAAAGGAAGTTTCGAAGTCATTTATATAATATTTTTCAGCAATGCTCTATGCAGTGATCTTATTTGAATTTCGTTGATCTTTAATTAATCCCACTGAAACTGCATCAGTCACAGTTTAGATATTGATTATATGTTCAATTTGTAGGGTTTGTGCAACAAATAAAATGTTGCTTTCCATTTATCAGATGCGCACTTAAATATCGGTCTGGAAGGATAAAAAGGAATTTTTTTGTACTAAAAGTATCATCCGAGGTAATGATAACGCTGTTCGCAACGACAGATTGCTTGAGTTTGATTAAGATATCAGTAGTGCAAGCCACTCAGTGATTTGGTGACCGTCGATTTCAAAGTCAGATTTTATTCATCTGTGCGATAAATTGGCGGATTGCTCATTTAGATTATGATCGTCAGTAGTTTATCGCGCTTTTGCACCTTGACGGGTCCATGAGGATGTGATATAGAAGTAGTATGTAAAGTAAATGTTTACAAACGATCGCATAGAACATCTATTGCTTTGTCGCATCGTTGGTGTTTTTTCTCATTTTGTGATGCAAGCAATAGTTGATAAAATGAGCTGCCCTCTTTCCAGAGCAGTCTCTCTTGTTCATAACCATCATTTTGGATCCATTATCATCTGACAGTACTACATGGTCACTACTTTTGGATGCCAATTTTTTCTGTTGCCTGTTCTGAACACATTCTGCATAGCGTTACATCTGTTTTGTGCTCAAATTCAAACT